TTTTAATACATTTCTTTTAAAATAAAACAAGATTTTTTGCAGGCTTAAACAAGTTTATTTTAAAACTTATTTAGAAAAGTAATGAACTAGAATAGCAAAGAATTTTGAAAAGGAATAATAAAGTGAAAAGAATAACTCTGAATGAGGTAGAGGATAAACAGAACAAAATAGAAAGCTCCAAATTAGACAGACACATAAGTATCCACTTGATTTTTGACAAAGTTGAAAAATCAATTCAATGAAGGAAGGATAAGTCTTTTGAACAAAGTTTGCTGAACATCCATAGGGAAAATAATGATCCTATGCCTAACATTTGCACCATATGTAACAACAAACTTAAAATATATCATTAATTATCAGGGAAATGCAAATTAAAACCACCTTACTCATCAGAATGGCCATTATTAAAAAGACAAAAAATAATAGATGTTGGTGTGGATTCAAAGAGAAGGGAACACTTACACCCTGTTGTTGAAATTGCAAATTAGTATAACCTCTATGGAAAACAGTATGGAGATTACTCAGGGCAATAAATATAGACTTATCATTCAACCCAGCAATCCCACTCCTGGGTACCTACACAAAGGAAATGAAGTCATTTTATCAAAAAGATACCTGCCCTCAAATGTTTATCACCGTGTAGACGCACACACACTCTCTCACCTACAATGGGGGTACTACACAGCTATAAAAAGGAATGAAATAATGTCTTTTGCAGAAACTTCGATGGAACTGGAGACCATTTTCTCAAGTGAAATATCTCAAGAAGGGAAAAACAAACAGCACATGTACTCTCTAATAATGGGGAGCTAAAAAATGAGCACACATGGGCACAAAGAGATGTCACTGGCATCCAAAAAGAAGGAAGGTGGGAGGACAGTTGGGGGTAAAAATTTCTCTACTGGGTTCACTGTACCATTCTGGTGATGGGCACACTAAAAGCTTTGACTTGTATGTTATATAAGGTATCCATGTATACATAAACATTTGTATATCCTTAATATTTTGAAGTTTTTTTAAAAAGTGCTTTATCATCTTAGGTTGATGACCAGAAGGGTTCACAAAACTTGGAGGAATTGGTCAGCTAGAGGAAATTATGCCTGAAGAAATGTCTCCCTTCAACCTTTTCAGAGTTTGTGCCCTTCCCCCTTCACATGGTTTTCCTATTAATAAACCTCCTCTTTGAGCAAAAATAAAATGAAATATTTCATTGTCTTGAGTTTGAAATTTAAAACTCTAAAAATTTTCAAAGAGAGCATATGATAAAATCTTTGTGATTTAGTGCTAGGTGAAGGATTATCAGATATTACAACAAAAGTATGTGATATAAAAGAAAAAATAACTTGTACTGCATGGAGAATACCAACTCCTCCATCACAAAATAATCCTATAAAGAGGCTGAAATATCAAGAATACACAAAGAATTTTCAAAACTCAACAGTTAATAAAAAAAACATAATTAGAATATGGCCAAAATAAATGAGTAGATCTTTCACCAAAGAGCAGATACATATGGTGACTAAGCCCATGAAAATGTCTTCAACAACAATTAGCCACTAGTGAAATGTAAATCAATACCAAAATTGTATGTCACTATATACCTATTAAAATAGCTAAAATGAAAAAAAAAAAATAAATGCTGGTGAAGATGCACAGAAACTGGATCACTCATTCATTGCTGGTCAAAATGTAAAATGCTACAGTTGTTCTGGAAAATAGTTCTGAATTTCCTTACAATACTATATACATTCTATGCTGTTCTCCACAACAGTTAAAGTCTATGAGCTAGACTTAGGACGGAAGGATATGACTGAGGAAGGATATGATTTAATACACAAAGGGGGTCTGATGCTGTCCTTTACTGGATCTGTTTTTCAGGAAAGCATAAAATACACTCCCGAACATTCGTCCACATTAAACAAGCTAAAAACCACTCAGTTTTCTGATATGGGACCTTGAGAATTGAACAATTGTACTAAAAATAGGCACACAGGACTTACAGATGGAAAGCTAATTTGATTCACAGATTTTCTAGATGTAAGAAGGTTTTTATGTCTATAACATTTGAAATATATATAACCAGAAGTTTCTCTCTGGACATTTAAATGTAGGGTACTTAATAACATAAAACCTTTGCCTCTCTCAATATTGGATTTTATATAATCATGTTGGTCAAAGATATGGAAAAGTACATAATAAAAACATCACTCATGAAGGCTTACTAAGTTTCTGGCATTGTGCTACACAATTCATACCCATTACATCATTTGTCTTCATGGCAACATTGTGAAGTATATTTTGTCATCCCCATTTTTTAAATGAGGAAATGGGGGCTCACAATAGCAAAAACATAAAGGTCACAAGGCTAATTAGTTGTTGAGAAATAATTTGTTTATAATTCCATTTGACTATAAACCAACATTTTTTTCACCAGAATATCATATTTGAAACTGTAAGAGAAATTCCAGGTCATATGGTCTAACCTCCACCCCATGTTATGATTCCTTTTACATTGTCTTATCACTGAAGGTGAGTAGTAAGGTAAAACATCCTGATCCTCTCATCCAGTGGTTCTCAATCTTCCTAATGCTGTGACCCTTTAATACAGTTCCTCATGTTGTGGTGCCCCCAACCATAAAATTATTTTCGTTGCTACTTTATAACTGTAATTTTGCTACTGTTATGAATCATAACATAAATATCTGATATGCAGGAGACCCCCAAAGGGGTCGCAACCCACAGGTTGAGAACCGTTGCCCTAATCCATTCCTAAATTGAATTGAGTTTTTTTCTGTAAAGTCTCTCCGATCTATACTCTTTCCCTTTTCACTTCCCCTGCAAAATGTCCAAGCAACATCTCAACAATAGCATTAGCTAACTAACTAGTCTGTCTCCATTCATTCTTATAATTTTCTCATTTGTTTTCTACATATTTCAGCTAACTACTCTTTTCCAGATATATCACTCTTCTGATTTAATGAGTTTCCGTTCTTCTTTGAATAAACAGCAAACATCTTGAAATGGCCTTCAATAATAGTGACTGTAAGTGCTGGTTTGCTCACATCTGTCCCAGTTTATCTTATTATCAACCTAACTTTTAATTTAGTTGCCTTTTATTCTCAAGAAAGTTCAAGTTTGGTCAATGAATCTTGTGGTCACCCTATCTATAAAGCTTTACATCACATCACCTAGCTCCATATGCAACAGGTAATTATACATGTACATTTAACTCTTCATCATTCATTTTGACCAAAGTATGTAGAATATATTCATACATACCTAGTATCTTTTTAAAGCTCATTTTTATGGTAAATACGGGTAGCAGCCTAAGACTTCTTGACATACAGAAAACCAAGTCATCAGTTTTAGAAATGAAGAAAACCAATAAATTTAACAGTTCTTTCTCATATTCCTACCTCTCGTGTCTTATATAGCATAATTTGGGAATATGACCCAGTAACACTAAATCCTTCTTTCTCCATTCATCAAAGTTTAGCTCTCTTTGTTGAGTGCAAAATCTTATCCTTAATAAGAAGGGATATAACCAACATAACCCTACAGTGAAGAAAATTGCAGTAATTAGCATCATATCTTAGAAGTTTAAATATAAAACTTCAGAGACCAGGCTCGACACCTGTAGCACAGTGGTTAGGGCACCAGCACATACACTGAGGCTGGCAGGTTAGAATCTAGACTGGGCCTGCTAAACAATAATGACAACTGCAACAAAAAAAAATAGCCACGCATTGTGGCGGATGCCTATAGTCCCAGTTACTTGGGAGGCTGAGGCAAGAGAATTGCTTAAGCCCAAGAATTGGAGGTTGCTGTGAGCTGTGATGCCATGGCACTCTACCAAGGGTGACATAGTGAGACTCTGTCTCAAAAAAGAACTGGGCAGTGCCTGTGGCTCATAGGAATAGGGCACCGGCCCCATATACTGGAGGTGGTGGGTTCAAACCTGGCCCTGGCCAAAAACTGAAAAAAATAAATTTTTTTTTCAGAGAACATCTATATGCAACTCTAGTTATTTAAAATATATTGTACAGGATTCTATTCCAGTTGACTGAGTCAGATACACAAATCCTCTCTCTGAAATAGCAACTATAAATCTGAACAACTGTTAAAAAACAACTATATCAGCACTCTGGAAATGGACCAAATGTGTCCAACACAGAGGTGCTTACTCATGAAAACTACTGAACTTCAGGTAAAAAGAATGTAAAAAGTCACATGCAAAAGACTATACATTATGTGATTTTTAAAATATGAGATATATAGGAAAGGTAAGGCTATAGAGAAAGAAATAAAATTAGTGGTAAACTGAGACTGGGGATGACAGTGGAAGTTGTCTTCAAAAGGGCTTGAGGAAAACATGGAGAGAAATTGAAAAAGTCTAAATCCAGATGTGATTATGATTACAAACCCTATAAATATATTTTTTAAATATTTAAGTGTACACTTACAATGGGTGAATTTTATGGTGCATACATTATGTTTTAACATGCTGTAAAAATAATTTTTGCATGAGAGATAAGCAAAAGTATCATTGGCATGCTGCCTGTTATCACAGTACAACAAAGATAGCTATGGTAGAGCAGAAAGTGAGGCAGCCCATGGAATCAGTGTAGATCACCCAACCATTTATACTTAGTTAAACCATTCGCTATTCCAACACCATTGAAATTTGCTGAAATAATCCGTCTATTTTTGAAAAAATACATTGAAACATCCTCTGAAGAAACACATAGAAATATTATCCTAACTTATAATTATTTACTTTTGGTTCTCTTTTTGGTCTTCGCTTTGTAGACCCTATTTTTTTTTAATAAAGATCTATGGAATCTGTAAAGCTTTGAGTCAGAGAAGCAATACTGCTCTGGCTTAACCAGCAAAAGCTGGCCTATAATATTTTCCATCTTAAATTTTGTTCCATAGTTCAGCATAAATTTTATATATATATATATATATTATATAATGTATATTTTTTCTCTATATCTTACCCAGTATGACTTGTTAACCTAAAGTCAACAGCGGATTCTTTAAATAAACCAATTCCTTCAATGTCGATGACATCATCTATATCAGGGTCCGTGGCAACCAACATTATGGGAAATTTCCAGACGCCATCTTTTATACATTCTATCTTCAGCATAATTTGAGACCTTGAATATAAAAAGATATTTCAAAATCAAAACAAAGAGAATAAATATAGCAAATTAATATCTAGGGTTAAAATGTAAATAAACATCGTTTCAGCAAAAACATTGGGATATTTATTTATTTAAAAATGTAGCTGGCTATTAATTACATTGTAGGAATAATTTTTAAGTCATAGTTTGTATTATCATTCTCCCTTTGAGGTAATTATTTTGTAGGGCATTTTATCTACCGTTTATTTTTAAAAACCGTAACGTGCAGAATGGACTCTGCAAATTTTCTCAAACCAACATAGAATATTATATGTGCAGTACCAAAGAACCCAAGGGTAGATTTGGCAAATAAATTCTAGATTTATACAAATGCAAATTCCCTTTAGGTACTTTATGTCAAAATAAAACAGTGAGAACAAGCCTTTTCAATTCTTGCTTCACATATAAAAAAATATATTTTTAGTGAACATCTACACAGCCCCACATAATTGACAAATTGAAGCTTTTTGAAATTTAAATTACAATTGGTAAAGACCACAAACACCTTGCAGAATAACATATAAATGAGTGGCAACTGAATAAAATAAGAAAATTAGCAGAGACTGACTTTCAAAGTATTTGGCTGTGACAAAGAGTGAAAAAATAGGGCAGTACCTGGAGCTGAGGCAAGGTTATCTGCTTGCTTAGGGTGGATGTGACTCATGTAATGGTGTGGTTATAATATCATAAGTCAGGTTTATAAATTAAATCACAAGCCTCTTGCCTCTGTCTATCACAGAGAGCAGTTCTGGGAACTCTGATCTTTCTTAGGTAGCAATATGGAATTACTCAACCCTTTGGGAAACAACTGGACAGTCTCTTACCAAATTTGAAAGGTGCACACAATAAATCTGCAGTTTGACTCTTAGTACTTTTCCCCGGACATATGCCTCTAAGATTAGAAGAAGTGATGTGTGTAAGGATATTCATTACTGCGTTGTTTAAACTATTAATATAAAATAACTGAAAGAAAAATTTTAAAGGTTTTTTTTTTAGTAAGGTGCTGCTAAAAATAAAGTGTGTTGCACAGAAACAGTCTAATCCTATGTAGTATAAGTTAGCCAGCTATAACTTAATATATTATCCTAAACTTCTCCAAAATGTGAACCCTAAACATAAACCTCCCTCACACTTTCCTGCCTTTGTAAAGGAAACTATATTCCTCTCTTTGCACTATTTCAGGAGCACTATTTCAAGAACTAATTTTCCTGTTTTGAGTCTTTCCACCTTAAAAGGAAGAGAAGATTTCCATAATTTAGAGCTTTTTATTTTAACTTTTTGTCTTCCAGTGAACCAGCCCAAATACATTTGGAAGGAGGAATGGCAGAAGTAAATGAATATTTACCAGGTACGGTCATGTGCCACATAACAATGTTTCAGTCAATGATGGACCTCACATACAACAGTGGTACCACATGATTCTAATACCATATATAATACCATATTGTTAATGTATTTTCATATGTTTAGATATGTTTGGATACACTAATACTTACTATTGTGTTATGATCACCTATAATATTCATATGTTTGCAGCCTAGAAGTAGCAATAAGCTACATCATATAGCCTAGGTGTGCAATACACTACCCACCTAGATCTGTGCAAATGTAGTTGATGATGTACATGACAGAATAGCCTTATGACACATTTCTAAGAAAGTATCCCTGTCATTAAGATGATGAATATACATATGGAAGAAGGAATGATAGTAAATGAAATAAACATAAATGATTCATTAAACTGGAAATGAAAATTCATTAAACTGGAAATGAAATTCCAAAAAATGGAATCATTAAACTACATAAGAACACCAAACAACACTCACAGAAACTTGTGGATCATGTAAAAAATTGTCCTAAATCATTTTCCCAAATATTCACCAAGAAGTTTTAAATTCACAAAATTCTGAATGCATATAAATACACATTGGCTCCACTTCTATTTACTGATGTTAACATTGTTCCCCTTCTAGTTATTTTGGTAATTTCCATGATTAAATTAATACAATACAAAGTTAAATGTGAAAAATACTAACAAATAAACATAGAATACTATGGAAGTAGAAGAAATGATAAAAAGAGGCAATGTCAATGTTTATAGTCTATTTTATTCTTGTAGCTTCATTTTATTACTGCTTCCTGAAGTGACCTTGGTATCTTTTAGTTACTGAACTACATAGTCACAGCCACTTAACATGCATAGATATATTAAATACATAATTGAACTGTAGAAATGATTAAAAGCACAAATAATACTTTGAATTGTTTTTTCATTGTCATACTGTTATCTATTTTGTGTGCACTGTGGGTCTGATCAATATCTCTCCATTTAAACACAAATAATGCTCCATTTCATAATGAAATATCATATAATATTTGCAGGAACTAGGTATCAATCATCCAAAAAGTAAGTATAATAATAGCACTAGATGAGATTTCCCCCAAGACAGACCTATCAAATGCTCACTATTCTCACAGATAGACTTATTTCTTACTAAAAGATGTGTAATGTCATGACAATTAAGGGGAAAGAGGTAATTGGAAGCAGCTTCAGTGTAGGACATAGCTCTTCATCATCGAACAGGCTCTGAGAAGTAGTATTAAATAAATATGCTGCATTGGTATATTACAAGGTTAATTTAATTTTACAAATAGACTATTTTCTTTCATTAATATGATACATTTATTACATTAAGGAGGTCACAATTCTTGAAGAATGCATTAGACTTCCAACCATTTAGACTATTTTTTCTCTCATCAAAGTACTTTTCATAGCTAGAAGAAATCTAGCCCAAAATTTCAAAGAAGTAATATAACCTAAATATTGAAAATGGAAGTAATAACAACATTATTTGGTTTAAAATAGTAATAATATTGTTTAAAGAAAAAGGAAAGGCTTACCTCATTGGTTTCATTGGTGTAAATATAACATTGAAAATCATTGTTATTGCTTCATCCTTGACATTACAAGTTTTTTTGATCAGATATAAAGCGATACAGGATTCCAAGCTAGTCTTCACAGTTTCAGATTCAAATTCAATTTCATACTCAAATTCGCGTTTTATAGGGAGTTCTGGGAAAACCAAGATTAAAATATATTTCAATTTAATTAGATATACATAGACTGAACATAAGGTAGTTTTTTTTTTTT